TCGTGGCTGCAGCAGGGTTGAAACCGTGCTTGTGTGACACGCAGAACTCTTGGAATTGCGTCTGGTACGTTAGGTATGTTCGTCGTGTCGACGCTCCACGGAACGAGTCCTGGATGGTTTGTTTGGTGGGCACGCTTTCGATTTTGCAGAATGGGATTTTGCGAATAGTTGTGGTGTAACCGATTACATATATTTAACTGCCCAATGGCATCGCGTACATGTCAAATGTTAATTCAATGTTGCTCCCACGACAAGATCCTCGTCCAATGATGAGGCGTCAAAAGCCGTTGACGAATGAAGTCACGATTCTTGTGTCGGGCAGCCAATGGTTCGCCTGAAATTGTCGGGTACTTGTCGGGTGTGTATTTTATGTTTTCCTACCATGTCTTTAGATTTGCGAAATTTCACGGATTTCCTGAGATATGTTGCGTCAAAAATTTGACTTGACACAACGCAAAAAGTGTTCAAAGCTGTCAATCATATTTGAGAACATTTGGGCCAAACTAATGATCGGTCTAACTGTAAGAACCTGTTCTGACTAACTTTTGGAATGGGGTAGAGCCAATCAAAACACGCCTCATTCTTGAACCAAAATTATCGGCCGACCTATCCAGAGTCATTCTAGTGGCGGCCGGAGATAGTGGACCATGATTGGTCAAAGATAAATATATGTCTAACCAATCAGAAGCATCTTCTCAACAAAGAGCATTTTAATGGACGAAGAGACCGCCGTGTGTGCAGCAGTTCTCGCCGCGGTGACAGCTGCTCTTACACCCTTCGACGGTCGCAGCAACCGTGGACCCATTGAAAACAACTACGTTGTTCCAAACAACACGTGGTTGCTTGTGAAATCTACGACTTCCCTCAATGCATGATTCACGCGGTACCTGCGATGCCCTCGACCCACGTTCAATCGAATTGTGGACTCCATTGAAACGGCATGGCCGACCGTGCACCCTGCTCTCCACGACCTCAACCGCTTTGGCATTGATGACCGCGTAGCTTGCACCCTTCACTACCTCACTCACTCAGACGGCTACGAGTCGACGGCAGCATTGTTTGGCATCTCAAAGACCAGAGCGTACGAGTATTGTAATCAAGTGTTTGCTGTTGTTCAACACTGTTTCGTGTTGGATACCATCTCGATGCCAACGACACACGCATCAGAACAGGGTTCGAAGCGTATGGATTTCCCAATGCCTACGGCGCCATCGACGGCAGTTTGATATCAATAAAACGATTTGAAGCTTTCACTGGGTGGTACTGCCACAAGGGGCTTCCAGAATTTAATATGCAAGCTGTGGTTGATCATCAGATGAAATTCATATCATACTCGTTACGCTCTGGAAGTCAGAACGACAAGGCGCTCTTTAACCACTCGATGTTTGGAAAAACGTGCCACCAAAAAGTCCCTGGGGGTGGCTGCTTTCTTGGCGACGCTGGGTACAAGCTGTGTTCACACCTCATAACCCCATGCACGATTTAATCGGACATGCCCCAGGACGAAGCGCACTACAACACGATCCACAGTCACATGGTCGTCGAGCGCGCATTTGGGCTTTGGAAGAACAAGTTTCGTGTTTCCAAGACTGAGCTGCTCCAACATCGACCGAGCGACATGGTGCGCCTGATTGAAGTATCCTTGGTGTTTCATAACTGGTTCATTGAATTCAATGAGGAGTTGGATAACTTCGAACCCGAGTTCTTCCCCGAGTGGATGCACATCGGTGGCGACACAGTCTTCGATGAGGATCTGAACCATGTCGATGGTGCACCTGCAAAACGCGCTCGGGATATGATCAAGCTGTATTTAAGCCAACATGTTAGTACATAGTATAATTGATCTATATCGTATCTTCGCATCGTCGCATCTTCGCATCGTCGCATCGCCTTATAAATTACATTGCACAAACATGCATTATATTTCAAATTATTGTATTACTTAGAATTTACTTTGGAGAAGACCATAACAATTACATTTCAAATTGTTGTAATGTTTAGAATTTACCTTGGAGAAACTGAAGCATTTTGTCGTTGACATCATTGGTTTTATCGATGCTGGCTTTCGTTTCCTCCATAAGATCCAATAGCTTTGTCATTTGTTCTGACATGTCCACGTCAGAGCTGCGGGAGTTCTTCACCTTGGCTTCCTCAATGAGTCGACTCGCCAGTGCTTCTCCGAGGTTATTGAGCCCCGCCGCAAGGTCTGGAATCTGATTCTTGCGCATTTGGCGCTGGCGCTGCATCTCCAAGTCGATTTCAACCTACGGCTTGTTTTGTTGCATGGAGCTAGCGGCATGTAAGTTCTCTAGCACTTCGACGTCGTCTTCGGCGACTGGGCTAGCACTAGGGGTACGCTCCATGCCAAACTCGATGTCTCCGAGCCCATGCAAATTCGCAAATGCAACCAAAATCTCCGAGTAGTAGCTCGGCTTGGGGGGGGTCGACAGCTCGTCGTTGTCAGTGGGTGTCAAGCTACGCTGGATCGCAACGAACTCCGACCGCAACTTTCGTAACTTGTTCTTGAGTGAATCGACTGAGACCTAGTGTATAATAAGATCTTTGCATTACGTATTATATATTTGGTACCTTGCGCGGCTGTTCAGTCAAAATGTTAAATTGTAAGGCAAGTTTTTCCCAGAGTACATGCAGTTGCTTGCTGGACAGGTCGGCATTAAACGATGCGCGAAATCCAGTGAATCGTAGCTCGAGTTAAGCCTCACTTGCCGTGTCAACAAGGCTTGTCGCCATCGACGATGCAATGCTAGACGTGGAAGGTTTGGTTGAGATACGTTTCTTGGGCGTTGTCGTAGCTGCGACGTCGTTGTCTCCCTGCAACTGCGGCGGTTGATGCGACTGCTGCTGCTGAAGCAGCTGAACTTGCTCGAGGAGCTGGGCCTTGGTCATCTTTACCATTGGTTTTAGAAGCATGTTGATGGAAATTTACAATGTGTTCCAATGCGACTGTGCTATGATTGGTCACAATTTGGGCCAATAAGACAGAATAATATGTACACTGGTGGACAAGAATGAGGTAGCGAATGACTTACAAATTTGGATCATTCTTATCCTATCGGTCAGAACAGTTTCTAAATAGCCAATCATATCGGTATCCATGGCCATATTCGAAGTACCACTGTATCCACTGCTGTCCAACTTGCCATTTCCAGATCAAGTTATTGCATTCTGTAAAACTACAGTCGAAATTCGTTTTTGGTGGGGGAAGCCGGGGATCGAACCCACGACCTTTGAGTTAAGAAACCGAGGCTCTAATATAGTTTGTTAACCACGCTAGGATGGAACGATACAAGGGATTGCAACGAGCATATAAACGTAGGTAACTTCCACTGACAGAATGGCTTTGCGTGCTTCAATATGGCGAATCCCGCGGCGCTATTCAGGTGCTGCACCATAATGGTTATTCATCAAATTAACGATGTTTACAACAAACACTACTCGATTTGTTTGACGTTCCATAACCAAGTCGGTTGTATGTCAACCAAGTGGGTTTCATGTTGGCCAAGTCGCTTTCATGATGACACGCGCAAGTTTGACTTACTTCGGCAAGTACGGTTCAATGAAGTCACGAGAAGCGCTGACGCGTTCGTACACACCTGGCTTGCCGTGTCGACCACAGCCACGGCCCCAGCTGGCCACGCCCACCAAGCGCACGCCAGCGCTTACTTCGGTGGTCAACGGTCCCCCCGAGTCGTTGTCACACATGTCTTCTCCTTCCACCCCTCCAGCAGCCAACATCGTATCGGTCACTGTCTTACCGGTGGTCCCGAACGCGTCCGAGGCCTTGTCGTTACTCCAGGTCTCGAGGATGACCTCCATGAGCACTGACGATTGGGGGCCATAATGCCTGACTTGTCCCCAGCCGCGTGCCCAAGTGTACACCCCCGACGGAACTTTCTCAAACAATAGCTTCACAGGTTCGATGTTCGTGATGTTGCGGTTCAAGATTGCGATGCCCACGTCAACGCTAGGATTGGGGTGTTTGATTTCCTCGATGACAGTGGCCAGTTCCCCGTCCTTATAACCGGTTAAAAAGTGCGTACCCACGACCGCATAAGGTAGAAAACCTTTCAAACAATGAGCCGCTGTCAAAACAACATTGGGGGCGATCAGACTGCCGCCGCACACGGTGTCACCATCGGGCGACTTCTTGAACCCAGTCACATAACGGTGCTCGCCGCGTTTGGCTTCCTTGCCCCCGAGGATTTCGAAACCGTCGTATGGGGCCTCATCGCCGCAAGCGACTTTGGCTGGGACAACTTGGTCTTGAGTCAAGGCAGCGACGGCCACGGTGAAAGCGAGAAGGAGTGCGAACTTCATGATGAAAATTGGAAAATGAATCGTTTCTCATCAAGAGCCAAGTCAATATAATCGTTAACGTCAGACTGTGATTGCACTACCAAGTTCCAAGGTTAACCAAATGGATGGTTGGGATGCGTACAACATACATACATCCTGCTCTTGTCGTGAACCCGCTAGGATGGACGAGTCATATTTGGCGTCATAAATATATGCAACAGCGTGGTCGATATTCTTGCCAAAAAACCCGCTAACTACTGCATTGTATCGCTCTTTCAAAGAATGAAGGATCCACATTGAAGTTGCACTTGCAGTACGTACGGTGGTTAATTGAGTTTGGATTATCCTTTGTTTATGACATTCCTCCGCGAGGGCCGATACTAGGACCACATGTTGTGGAACCGCGTTAAGAAACCGATGCTCTACCACTGAGCTATTTTCCCTCCCCCAGTACGTGAACTGGTTGTTCGTACTAATGCATTGTATCTGCTTGTTCGTTGCTTTCCCTATTCCTATCCAACGTTATCGCCGACGACTAAGTATCGTGGGTTGTATTTCTGTAATACTTGGATAATCGTATTTCTTTCAGGGTATTGACGACAACGATGACATACAGACTGTACTACTGGACATACAGACTGTACTACTGTACATGTATCCAACATCTGACAGCTTCATTCATATATAACATGCGGTTCTAGTATCGGCTCTCGCACGTCAAGAGGTCTATTGCCACCTTGATCATACGTCAAGAAATCTAATAACGTTAGACCTCTTGACGTATGATCAAGCCTCCAGTCAGTGGCCAATTACATTCCAAGTACACCCATGTGTTCTTGGATGGACTTTCATGACTGGTCAGACATCCGGATACTAATATATGACCGAGTCATTTTGCAGCGATTATGTGATTGGTCCCTCGATCATCTCATGTACGGTTAATGATTTATCAGTCATTCACTATTTTCGGAAATCACTCGATTC